TTTAACTTGTACGTTCAACCATTTATGATGTTTATGATGTTAATATTATGCGCAAAGTAATAATTATCTCAAAATCATCTCTGTGTGCTACCCGTTATTTTATATTTGAAAAGTTTGTTAGAAATATCATTTCCTTGAGAATATTCATTTTAAGAACCTCTCACGAGTACTCCAGCGTTACGTGTCGTTCTACCACTTTTTCCGGCAAACTTTGTCTTTCCCATTTACGAAATCACACGGACATCTCATTTTCTCGTTCTGAGAAAATTTAAAGTTCATAAAAATGCCATAACTTCGAAACAATATTTATTATGTTTCATCGTATTAGTTTACATCATAATTTACATCTGGTAAGCTCAAATTTATAGTTTGGACGCATCCCTTTAGAGCCAATCATACATAATTTCAAAGTTAAGTTCGCATACGTACCTACGTAAAAGTTTCTCGCAGTTGAGTAAATTTATTGAGAGTCGTTTTCGGAGAGGAGAACTCTCGGCTCTCAGTTACCTCTTACACATTTATCATACGCTACATCGTAATGATTCACTGGATGGAATAAGAGATTTGGAAGACCGGGTAGATGAAACAAACGAAACGTATAATCTCTCTCTTTATAAAAATATTCGGAGTACATATACATAAATTCTGACCTCAACGTGCATCGTATTTGTCATTCAAGTTATTCAAGTCAGTGTTTCTCAAACTTTGCAAGACACTAACGTTAGTTTTACTTTCCTGTCTAAGTATTACAATCAAAGGTTAATTGCATCAAATTAGTTGATTAAGTTCGATTGTAAATATATAACAATAAGAAGTGATTGTATATGATGATGATAAAACTGTAAAAAGGATTAATGTTACTTTAATGATAACTATATAAATGTAATTAAAATGTATCAGTGGAACCGCGTTAAAATTCTTTCACGTCAAAACTTTATAAGACGATATGCATTTAAATGCGTTTTGTGCAAACGACTGAGGCGAAATTAATCTCGATGTGTACTATGGATTTATTCTCGCGTAACCTAATTTGAGAAGCACTGAATTAGACGACCGCGAGTAGCTGCCGCGCATAGTTTCGGGTTGCCGAACGCACTCTCGCTCCGATAAGGGGATGCAGATTTGCAGAAGCCGGGAGGGGCGGTCGCCGAGGGGCGCGATTCTGGTCGGACGGTGACAGCCAGGGCGTAGGAGTGTTGGGACGTGAATGGAATTGTGAGCGGATCGGCCGCATATTCCCGTCGTTTACATTTATATTCCGCACGAGCTGTGCAGCGACCGCGCGGTCGATCCGTCGTAAGCCGACCGCGGAGTGTATTTGCGAAGGTTCTTCCGTCCCTTTCCTTCCTCTCTCCGTCCTCTTCACCCCTCCCCCCTCCCCTCACTCCCTTCACCATCGCTGAATGCTCCTGTGTCTTGTCGCGATTCGACCGCTAACAAAACCGTCCGTCTGATGCGGCTCGAATCGCTTTAACCCCCTCAGATTCATTTTTCATACTCCCGTTTCGCTGTCTCTATTGACTGACGCGGTCCGGATTTCGGTCCAGATCAAACGGTAGTGAGGGTGAAGAGTGATAGGGGAGGGGGCGGGGAGGTATGGAGGAGGAGAGGATATCGGTTGCCCTTTGAAACAAAATTTGCTTTCGGACAAAGTTAGAATTTTTAGTGCGAGTCTATACCCATGCATTAAAGCTGCCCTTTCGATCCTTTGATTCCCTTTGCCCGCGATAGGGTTTGTTATCAATCGCTTTTCGCGTGATGAAAGGGACTGTCAAGAAAGTTGTATATGTGTGAGAGCGCGTGTATACTTTTTCGGGATATAACGAATTTGCCAGACTGGTCAATTTATATTAGAATCTGTACGTTGCGCTCTTTTCACCGCAGTAAATTTCAATGGCCGATTCTTTGATAGATTCGATGAATTTGTTGTTTCGATTTAACGAGAATTTCATGGCAGGTCGTTATATCCGTTGTAGCCTTTTAATTTTCGATATTAACACTTTGACTGCTGTATCCAATTGGATGTATCCTGTAAGGATTCATGCAATCCTGTGGAGGAATTCTATGGAGATTCATCATTGCGCCCCTTCGATTTTAGTGTTAATTTAATACATATTTCTATTGCCTGCACTCAGAGAAAAATATAGTTTTGACAATTATCAAATTAACAATTCTAATAATTTAAATAATAATTTAGTACTGAACACTATATTTTTATAGTATTCGGTATTACTTTAGTTCTTATTACTTTTTAAAACTAGTTGCAAGTATTTAAATTTTGAGAGTTGTACTTTATAATAGCCACAACTATTTTTTTTCTCTCAGTGTGCATACAAACACTTTTGTATTAATATACATTCCTCTTAAGGAAATGCGGTATTCTTGAGATAATTTTGAGACGAAAATCCTAATACGTAAATGTCGAACTATAATAATTTTTTAAATTATAAACTAACTTTAAATGCTTATAAGTCAAAAACCATTTTACTTTTATAGTCTCTATTACTATTTCTGAATTCTTTTGAACATTCTAGAACGAAAATTCTAATACGAAAATATCGAAGCTGTAATAATTTTTGAAAACTATTTTTAAACTATCTTTAACCAATTTTAATTCAAAAATTATTCTAGCATCGATATTTTTGTATTGGGATTTTCGTCTCAAAATTACCTCAAGAATATGTTCTTAAGAGAAAATGCGATAGTTGTGAGACACCCCGTATATTGTGAATTCTGTAGAGGTCATTAACTTTATTCAAAATTTTTATAAAAAACAATATATTTAATTAAACAATATATTTTAACATGTTATTCCACAGAATATATTTAAAATTGCATTGTATAAAAATAATAGTATGACCGCGCGCGCGCGCGCGATTACAAAATCCGTGTAGCAATTAAACTGTTACGTATATCCAACTTGCGTAATCGAGTTTGTAGACTGATTGAAGAACGTAATATGAATTACTTAATAGTGAGTGCATATTAACAATTAACTGTATATATTAATAATGAAACGTTAATAGCGTTTAATTAATCACCTTGCTAGATGGATGCATCATTCGCTATTAAAGCACGGCCGATTGTATTCGCACGATATGGATCGTTTCGTGCAGTTTCCTATAAAGTGGAATATATAAATGCTAGACGGGTGAGAGAAAACAACGCATGCGTGTGCAATAACGGTATGCAAAACCGGCTGGTTTTAGCACAACTTATCATGAACGAGTGTGTTGCATTTGTATATCGGCGATCGAAATTCGCTTATCAAAATGTGCATTCGGCATTCGTGCGAATTCACATGGAATACACGGCGAGAGAAAGAGAGGAGGGGGAGAGAGAGAGAGAGAAGAGAGAAGAAAGAGTATCGATCATCGAGCAGAAGTTGCCTCGAGTGCGTTCTTTACTTACTGTGACCATTTGCTTCTTATACCGTCATTAGCTCGAGAACGAGACGTTAATTAGGAAAGTGTCGGACGTAACGGCGAAGAAAAATTGCTTCCGACTAGGAATTCAAAGACCATCCGTACCCCTTTAACTTCTGGATGGAGGTAAAGGCGCGTACGACGTACCTTTAATTAAGCAATTTCGCAATGTCGAATGTTAATGTCTCTATCATTTAGGATGGAAGAGCAGGGGTATCACTGGAGGTATAAAATGGGCGTGACAGCGAGTGAAGTAAAATAAAATGTTGGAAGGGGAAAAAAGGGGGGAGGGGGGGAGGGGTGGAGCACAAAGAGGAATCCTCGGGTCCTCGAGTAAATTATACGAATAATTCGATGCCGCATTAATTAGGTAGGTTAATAATTATGCAGATTGTACTATTTCTGCTTGAATAATTGATCAAGAATTGTACGAACTGCAACAAGCCATGCGTGGATATTGTCGAAATAATGCAACGTCAATTTGAATACAACTAATTATTACGGATCATTAAACAGATATTACGGATTACATCATGGTTAATTTATTATTCATCCTTTTTATTCATTATTTATCGCGCACATTGTAGGTAATGTTCCGTGTACTCGGGGAGTAAACGCGTAGCCATTTTTCCGGAGCGCAAAACTTTGGATTTCTCGCAACGCTTTGGCTTTCTCGTCCGTATAAACGTTCCTTTAATATCTCCGGGCGTTAAGGGCGTGTGTCGTATTTCTCATACATTCCTTCCGCAAAATAAGAAAATGCCAAGAGGAGAAACGAGTTGAAAAGTCCAGCGCGCGTTATTCCGTCGTACCCATGCTCTCGTCTTTTCTTACCTCGGGAAAAGATATCACCGGAGCTCGGAATGTCTTTACAAAGTTACGCGACAAACAGAATGGTCGCTGGAACATTATACGAAACGCTAATCCGTTCCGAGCACGAGCGGATTGCGAGCAGCTGGCCTAATTTACGACGTCGACGGACGCGGTTATGTCTCGCGCTTTTGCCGCCGACGCTCGCATAATGCAACGCGACAGGCCCGCCTCTGCTTTTTGATATATTGCGTGCACAGGATTGCATGACGAATCGTAGCGTTTGCGGAATAACCTCTATCTCTCGATGTACAACATACATATTATATGTACGTATATATATATATATGCGCGAATATATCAACCTGTGCAAAAGCGCGCGCTAATAATAATAGGTGTACACCGATTATCTCATGCACAAGATTATCATTCTGGTAATATTCAACGCGACCCCAAGCCCCGTATAACAACCGGAATTCCATTAAACGAAAACGCATGGGTATTCGGGCTACCGTGGTATTCGAGTTATTAGATTTCCACTATGAATGATCGTCATGCTTTCTGTTTTCCAAACGCTGCCGTTTATTACACACAGTTACAGTATAGTACATACATAGGTTTCCTTAGGAAAATTATGTAAAGTTCATGTGATTCTGCTGTTACTTGCGAAATTACGAGCGTATACACAGATACTGCGATAAATACCTTGAATTTTTAATGAGCATATTCCGTATTCGCTAAACAAGACCGAGAATTAACCGCCGGTTGTTTTGTTCAGGGTATAGTTCTCCTAGTGTAGAAATTCTCCAACGCCCCCATTGGCTGCTTCATCGTTTGAGAGCAGTTCTCAATCTCTTGAATACGGGTTTTGGATAGGTCTTCGGTTTGGCGAGACTTTTGAGACGCTTGGAGCATCTCGCCTTTAACGCCATCGGCGACACGGTGAAGGCATCTTCTCGGAGATCCGTTTCTCTACCCGTTGGACGCTGGGCGGGCTTCGCCAAAGCGATTACTCTCGTGGAAGCTACGGCATTAAACGTTATACCTTACGCTGTATGCTCTCAATCCTATCCATTAACATCGGTTTTCCGCCGGCTTATTCTTATCAACGGGATTAAGGCCGCCAAGTAAAACTAACTGTTCCGCAAACGAATGAATATGATATAAATTATTTTACGTGCTTCTCTAATGGCAACCGTAATCTCGCTTGAATTTCATTTTGTATATAAACCACAGCTGTGTGATATTTGTTTGATTAGTTGGTTAGCTGCTTTGTTACATGACTATGCGTGTATAATAGTAATACGGATTAAATTTCTAAACGCACGCAGTGCATTTATGCCAATGTCAACTGCAATTATAAACGTTCATAAATAAATAAATAAATTTCTAATAAGAGAGAGAGAGAGAGAGAGAGAGAGAGAGGGAAAATTTACATTCATTTACACGTTAATTTATCAGGTATGTAAATATGAAACCAGAATTTACCAATAGATAACCATAGCTGTCAATGTAGTTGCCGTCGGACCGCGTCATTGACGCCATTTCCTTGTTCTGACATCTGACAAAGATTTTCAACTCACAATAATACAAGTTTCATACAACAGTTTGTAATAGCGTTGAACATGTCGAATTTTGTGCCTGTAAACTACGATTTGCGGACAGCATTGATTTTCTGTTACCATTTAAAGAAAACTGCTGCAGAATCGCATCGAATGCTTGTCGAAGCTTACGGTGAGTATGCTCTTGGTAAATCACAGTGCTTTGAGTGGTTTAAAAAATTCAAAAGTGGCGATTTTGACGTGAGAAACGAAGAACGTGGAAAACCACCGAAAAAGTTTGAAGACAGCGAAATTGCAAGCATTGTTGGATGAGGATGACAACTCGCGGATCAATTGAATGTGACACGAGAAGTCGTCTATACATTTGAAATCCGTGGGATCCAGAAGATGGGAAAATGGGTTCCACATGAACTGAATGAAAGACAGCAGGAAAACCGAAAACTCGAGAAATCGCCAGGTCCCAAAAGAAAGTGATTTCTTCATCGAATTGTGACTGGCGCTGAAAAGAGAATCCTAATATTTTGAGAATCCTAAGCGTAAAAGATAATGGGTAACTTACCTGGATCCAGGTGAACCATCGACATCGACTACAAGGCCAAATCGCTATGGACGGAAGACAATGCCCTGTGTTTGGTGGGATCAGAAAGGTGTGATCTATTGTGAGCTGCTAAAACCTGACGAAACCGCTAATACTGAACGCTACCGACAAATGATCAATTTGAGTTTTGCGTGAAAAACGACTGGAATAACAAAAAAGGCAACACAAAGTGATTTTGCTTCATGATAATGTACCATTACACACAGCAACTGGTCAAGGAAACCAACAAATGATCAATTTGAGTTTTGCGTGAAAAACGAATGGAATATCAAAAAAGGCAACACAAAGTGATTTTGCTTGGTTAGGAAATACTTTCGCATGCGGCTTACTCATCAGACTTGGCTCCGTCCGATTACTATTTATTTGCATCGATGGGACACGCATTTCATATTTACGTACCTGGTACGTTGAAATTATCTCGACTGAAAATATTCTAACAAAATCATTTGAATTTCATACAATTGATTCGTATTTTTTTTCCAAAATCAATACAGTCATCTGTCAAAATTGAGGTGGAAAGGAGACCGCAGGTGGAAAATTTTTTTCCAAATATTAACTACGGTTAAAAATTTGTTTAATATTTAATATTTTAATCTTCCTTCGCTTCTCGTCAAGGTAGAATGTATATTTTGATTTACGTCTTTTACTTCATGGACGCCGCAGAGCGCGCGTGAGATATATTGTAAAAGTTGCGCGCGATCGTTACACTACTATGCTGCCGCGCATCTCGTATTTTATTACAGACGGATTTCAATGAAAACGACGGGAAAATGTTGTGCATCGGCTGTGACTCGTCGCGCGCAATTATACGTGAAAATTAAAACCAGCCCCGGCTACCTTCCGGGGAGGCTTCTGCACGCATTTCCCATTATCGCCGAAAGGCTCGATGTACTTCCACGTTTTGTATCAAGCAACGTCTCGCACGCGAAATTAAATTTCACGTCAGCGACGAGGGACGTCGGTTACGCCCGACGACAGCTCGAAGAGAAACTTGAGGAGGCATCTCCTCAGGAATATGTTACAGAGAAAGTTGGATGCGACGGACGGCGAGTGAAGTGATCGAGGATTCTAAGAGGAAAGAGAAACGGAAGGAAGGAGAGGAGCTTTGACTTCGATATATTTCAATCGACTTTTCAATTCTTTAAGATCCGTTTGTTTATATTTCTGCCGCGCCCTGTGCAGTGACGATGATGGTTCAAAGGGAAATTAATCTACTATCGTACGGTCGACCGTCGCGTCGATCGATAGGAAGAAGACATCGTTTAATCAGACGCAGCCGAGTAACCGTACGATAGGACACGATATACGCAGACGAAGCGAAAATCGAAATAACTGAATTGTACGAAAGATAGATGGATAGATGTCATTTATTACGTGATCTTGGGATTTGAGTTTTTCTCTCGCCCTCGGGATAGAATCATAGAATGTAGCAGCAAAAGATCAACATACAAATGAAAGAAAATAAATAAAAATAAACGATAATAATAAAATGTGTTACAGCAAATACCCAATGTAGAAAAAAAAAAATTCCACGTGAAAAATCCAGTGAGAATAGTTAATAAAATAAAATACTGATATAAATAAAAGTTATATAAAAATATGTGATAGAATGTATAACAATACGTGCATTGGAAAAATTGTGCAGAGAAATGCGTAAGTGACGAAGAAGAATTATCGAGCGAGAGATAACATCGGTAAACAAACGACGATGTCACTGCGAGCGACGTCCTCATTAAATAATTACAATACCGGAGAGAGAGTGCCACTAACATTATGGTATGGAATAACGCTGCAGGCAGAATAGTCTGCATCGAGCAGGACGGTAAGCATAGTGCGGCATCGCTAGCAGATCGGTAACAAAACACGTTTAGTGTGCCGCAGGCTTAATGTGTAGATCGTGTCCCGTTTATCTCTCCTGTGTCCATATCAAACGCTACAAAATCGTTACCTCGCAGTTATGGTTGAACGGAAAGATAACGCGAATTCTGCATTATATCACGAATTCAGTGATACCCTAAACTAATAGCGGAATATTCGACGCCGATCGATTACCGGAGGTGTGTATACCGTATACGGGATTCTATTAATTCCGTAAATTTTTGCCGAATTTCCAAATCAATTAACGATTCTATATAAAAAACATTTTTACCCGTCAACGTTGCCGAAACCGTAATTCGGTCGAGATTTATTTTTCATCGATGCTGGATGCTGAAAGGTATACGTTTGTTTTACGATTGTTAAAAATATACAGTCAATTTTATTTTTATTCCGCAATATGTAAAAATTCTTCCGAAAGCTCGATTTACCGCACGTTCAAGCTATTGAACAGTCGTAACCATCGACGAGAAAATCCGTAATTTTTCTTGATGTAGCGAGGTGTGAGACCGACGAAATCACGGATCTCTCTGCTACGCAGGGTGTCTCAAAATCACAGAGAGAGACACGATACGATATCGATGCGCGTCACGAATAGTAGTGGCAGATAATAAATGAAGAAAAATAACAGTTATTAAAATTACGTTAAAAAATTGAGAAATTTAGAATTTTATTTAATATTTAAAAAATGCGATCGCTTCTCTATACCATAAATGCAAAGACTAGCTCTTCGAGTTAGTTTTAATGAGACATAAATACATCGGCATTTTAATTCAACGCTCGATTCTCAGCTCAAGTATTTCCGTTGAAATTTATATTTAAAAATTCCTAACAAATAGCGTGACTTTTCTCATGAAACGCTCGTCAGGGAAAAATGCAGTCAGAGCTCGCGTTGAATCTCGACGGGAAGATGCCCGCTGGGACACCCTGCGTATGAGCTTACTTACGACATCCAATAGCACGTGTAATAGTATTGGTAGACCCTACATAGGTACATAGGTGACAACGAAAACGTCGCTTCCTGCGGATCGATGGCCGTATGATTCCTCCACATATCGAGCGAAGAAATCGAAGCGGAAGCCGCGAACTCGCGACGGCGAAGCAAATGGTATAACGGTAGTGTAATGTAAATGTAGTGGCGAGATGCGTGTTACTAACCTATAGCTTTCTTTGCGGCCGGCGAAACGGCGCCTAGTATTCTCAATGAAATCACCGGACGTAGATATCGCATCGTTAGTCTCTCCATTCGCTTGCTCATATGATAGGTGAGGGCGCGCTTAGCCACCTTGAATGGATCTCTTAGTTTGGACTCCTCTCGAATCAATGGTAAAGCCAAGAAGTACACTCGCTCCAAATTGACCGGCCTCCACTTCCTCCTCTGAAAAATATCGGAACGTGCGATCGATCGAGCGAGCGAGCGAACGGGCGGCCTCGTCACCGACGAGGAAATTCGCGACGCATCGAACATTTTTATTCTAGATAGATTAATATTGATTTATGAGAGAGTGGAAAGGACGTCGCTTACGGGTTTCCTCTTTTTGGGTCTTACGACGACTTTGGGCGCAGCTAGTTTCTCCAGGACCCGCATGTGCCTTTGCCAGTCTTCTGGTTTTGTGAGAGCTTTGCGCAGTTTCGCCATTCGTTTTCTCCTAGGTATACGAAAGCGAGGCATTTTATCGCGGGAATTTGAGTTTAAAAACGCTTTACTGAGGGAAAAGTCAACCGGGAGATTAATTAACGTTTCATTAGTAGCTTAAGAAAACTTGCGTTATTAGCAGCATTCGCGGTTTATCAATGTCGGTTATACAGAAGGTGATAATAACTATTATTAACTATTCATACCATAACTGCTGGTAATAATAAAAAAGAAAAAAAAAATCTTATATTTTTTCTAACAGTTAGATAATTTCAAACTCTTTGAAAGAGATATTTCCGATATCTGATTTTGATTGAGCTACTTTTATTTAGTTACTAATGGAAAATTAAAGAATCTATAAGGATGAAAAGTGTGGCGAATTGTAGTTTCTGTGGCAGAATGTTCTATATATATCGCGGTCTATCGTAGAGAACTATTAAATTGATGTTTCTGATTGTAACCTGATCAATGATTGTAACCCATTGCAATAAATGCCCAGGATAATCTCTCGAATTTCATTGTGCACTATTAATAATCACTTCCGATGCAATATCAGATGACCTTTCGTTAATTAAACGTAAAATTTGCATCCAGTTGCAGTGCGATCAATACAGGAGGGTTTATAAGCTTACGTTTTGTTACTTGCCCACCGGTATTGTTGTGCCTTTATAAAATCAAGCTAATTATTCAACGAGTAATTAATTCCTGTCCATATATATATATATATATATATATATATATATACATATATATACATATACATAGTTCAATTATTTATTTTGCCGCCGAGTTTACATCCGGGTTTCATTTCATTAAATTTCACAACACTCTCCTGAAACTGAAGTATAATAAAAATAAGAGAAGAAATAAAAGGGATAAAAAAGGAACTTTGATATGACAATTCAATTATTTAATCTTGCAATTTCCACGGCGATTAAAATAGCCTGCACATCCCTCTTTTTTCCATATCCCTCTCGTTCACCGTTGGAAACTGCAATGTGCTCACTGCTCGTACGAATATGAAGAGATTGTGTGCCTAGATGCCGCGTGTCGTTCGCAGGGAAAAAGTGACATGATAGTGGGAAATGTATCGGCCTTACTTTTTCCTAGCTTCTCGCTCTTGACGCGCGTTGCAGAATACACGATACCGCTGGTACCGCGACTTTCGAACCTTCACCAGCAGATCGTTCACGAATTCCTTCATGTTTTTGGTAGCTGCCAATTTCATCGTCTCCAGCAGACGTCTAACGTTTACGGTATATCGCTTTAAAGTTACATCATACATATATCATCGATCAAGTCTTAGCTATCACATTTTCTGACATTATCGAAAGTGCGAGTGACGTTAAAAAAAAAAAGCCGCAAAAATAATCTTTATATTTTGACTCTTAAACAACTTTACCTAAAAATGCGAAATAACGATATGCGAGAGAGTCTTAAATCTTAAAATAAACGTTCGTATCTTCGAGTCCCTTTGGGATCTCTAATAATATATAATAATTATTCTAATTTTAAGATTTATATATTTTTAACTAAAGTTTCTTATCGAGACAGTTCTTCTCTTCAACATCGAGGAAATGGATGTGCACCTTCTCTTGGGCAATGCCAGATCGACGATACGGTTCGTGCTCTTCGCTGCGAGCGTCTTCGGGTGAACGCGAGGGTAAGGGGGCGGCGCCGTTCTGCGCGATAATAAATTTTCTAGAGGACTCGCGATAACCTGACGAGTACAAGAGCGGACGACTGTGCACTTACGCGGGATCGTATTTCTTGGTTACGAATTTCGGTTGCGCCATAACCCGGATGCGCCTCGAGGCGCGGCTCCTCAGAATCGCGCGCCGCCGTACTGTATAAGGACTCGCCTGAAAGTACGTATACATGTCGATATAAGTATCCGAGAAAAGACACAAAGACCCCCTTTAGCGCACGCGAACGCCGCTCGAGCATCTGCTCCATCGATCGTTTTCAACTGAACGTTTTTCCACGGAAAAACCTACCGTAACTCTCATAACGACTGTTTGATTTCACGTTGTAGGATTCACGTCTCAATTTGTATTTAACGTCCTTAAATATTTCGGAAACAGGTGACGCCTCGTTTGATTTTTCTATTTCATGCGTTTGCATTGCATCCCAAATTGCAAAATTTGAATTTACTCGAAAAGAACCGCCGCATATCCTAGCATAAAAAAAGAACACGATATCTCGGTATCTCTTTAATAAACTCCCAGAGCGACGGATGCAAACGCAAGTGATATTATCCGAAAGCGTAGTTCCAATCTTTTCGCAGTATATGTTAAAAGGAGATAATAAAAGTTCCCTTTATAAAAGACGTTCTCGCCTTATTCCGATTAAAATAGACGTACGTACGTACCAGGACATTTGGATCACGTTTGCGAAGTCTTCTCCAGTTGGGACGCGCTAATAGCGCGATGTGCTCCGCGTGCGATAAATGACCTTGAGCGTATTTAATTCTTTGCGAAAGCATCTTACCGCCGCCTCTCTTTTTCGCCTCTAGTTTTCTCACCATCGGTTTTTCCCAACCCTCGGCACAACGATGAGCAAGCGTTTCCGGTATGCTTAATTATTAAATTATACTCGCGTAGCTTTAACGATCCCCGAGCGAAAAAACAAGTGCATTTAACGGGAGACCCGCGGGAGAAATGTACCGAAAATTAACTCGACACACTTTCGCGGTTAACGCCGTAATTTTTTCACCCCCATTGAAGCGGACGTTTCACGAGGAAATTTTGTGGGATTCGGACAGCGCGTGACAGAGAGATTGGGACTGAACAAAATACGAGCGGGTCGAACCAGCTCGAAATATTATTTCACACCGCAGTTTTCAAGGCTGTCGGCATTTCACGCAGGTCCAGCGTTATGCAATATTCTTCTAAAAGCTGGTCTACTCTACGACGAATATATTCATTCCATCAACCTGGGAACCACCGCGGCGAGGAGAGGGGAGGGAACTACGTGACAATGTTCTAATTCTGCATGACAACGCAGTAAAATTCGTCGCATAAACGCGCCCGCGTGCATTTGCATTCGCCGAATATCTGACAAACTCCAAATCACCGGAGAAATCTGCCGTAATAAAGTTCCGCCGGTGTGTATGACAAATTAACTGACGTGTCAGTGATTTTCGTGCGTGAAATATAGAGTTTCGTGAAAATATACGCGCTTTCCCGGGCGCGCAATTGAATGAAATAGCCCCGTTTTCCCTCGGTCGCCGCTTAAAAATGCATACGAGAAGATTGGAAGACGCAGAGAGAGATGGGAAAAAACAAGGCTCTGGCTTAACCGCATTATGCACTCTTAATGCACGACGGAAAGAGTTGAGAGGCTCGTAATTCACGAGCGGACGGCCGAAGAATGAAAAGAAGATGTGTAATTCTGCCGGCTGGCGCGAATCGAGCTCTCGACTCTCGTAATGCGGATAAAAGTTTATCCAATGGAGATCTTTTAGGGGACCTATTGGTTTTATTCGTATCGAATCGTTCATGAGAACGCACGAGTCGTTCACGAGGACTTTTGTCCTTTTTCTTTCTTCTCCTTTTTCTCCTTTTCTCTTTTGCTTCTGGCGTCTTCCCTTATTGCTATCCTCCTAGTTCCGACTCGTTTCCGTTTCCCTCTGGCTCCGAAACTGACCTCCCTCTCTCTCTCTCTCTCTCTCTCTCTCTCTCTCTCTCTCTTCCTCTCTGTCTTTCTCTTTCTCCATCTTGTCCTTCCTTCTTCCTCCCCCCGCCCCTCCCCCCCCTCTCTCTCTCTGTCAACCCCGCATGGGAAATCTCAAATACGAGTCTGTTTACCTGGCACTTGAAATCCCGGTGGATATCGATGATAAGATTTCACCCTCGCCCTCGCCCTCGCCCTACACCACTTCGCGTCACGTTTCCTACGACCCTTCCTCCCCCTTTCCTATCCCCTTCATGATACAATTCTCCGTTTAGATTATGCAATTTGTATTGCGCGTGTTAACTACCTTTGCGGTCTGACCGTTGCGAGTGCAATAATAGCTCTCACCGTATCAGGTCTCCCTGGAACTTCCCTCGAGAACAACGAATTCGTTCTAGAAATGTACGACGCGAATGATTACGGTATGATTGATCTCATGATGTTATACCTCATGTCTTATGCGACATTATTAGCAACAATTAAGTCTTTCTGCATGCGGAGAAGCAGGGATTCCGTTTACATTAAGCAGTAATGAATTGAGTCAGACGTTCTGTTTCAAGAGGACGAATTCCGTTAGTCATGTCATGGTTTCAATCGTTATAAACACTAAATGGAATATTGAAGAGAAAATTAAATCACGTCTTTCATTATTTATTTATTCCTCACTAATATTTGCGTATTTCTTAATTTCAAGTGATGAAAAGGGAAATAGTTTTTGTTTCAGAATTAAGGACACAAGATGAAGGTTGAAATAAAAATAAATTCATAATGAAAAACAAATAAATTTTTCAAATCTCTTATTTTCAGTTGTTATGCTTTGAAATAATTCATATAAAACATGGATTTTTCTTTGAATAAATCAAAACTCGGTACCCTAAAACAATATACATTTTTCTCAGAAATAAATCGTCGTGATGTTTTATGGCTGATGCGTTTTAACCATGGTTTGTGCGCAAATTAATTTAACGGAGTGCAAGCGAAGTGAAAAACTCAGGATCAGAGTCTACCCAGCTGCTTTTATCGTAACGTTCGTATAAAACGCAATACACGTGTACGATATTCTTTTTAATAGTTCAACTTCTCCCGTACTATTTCTTTCATGTTTTTTTGATGAAAGTACCGAGTGTAATCATTTTCTCTATCTTTTTTCGGAATTTCCTTGATTAGATGTTACACGCGATGCGATGATAAGCATGGATGCGTCAACCTAGGCGGAAATGTTGTTTTACAAAATCCGGTAGAGCTGAAATTTCGACTCCGGGAATATTCGTCCATGGTGCGGATGAAATTGGGATTTGTCGGATTTGTGGATGCTCCGCATTGCGCTACGGAGTTACGGATATCCGGATTTTTCAATATAGCAGGTAATCTCAATCACATTCTCCCTCTCTTTCTCTTTCTACTTTCACTCCATCTCTCTCTCTCTCTCTCTCTCTCTCTCTCTCTCTCCATGACATATCGTGACGTGCATGTCGCAAACCGTATTAATTTGCTCTGGAATATTTGCCATCACTGTCGTTCGAAATTTTATAATGGAACATGTACCAATCTGGATATATGCAACGCTTTATTTTTCTCATCGTTTGGTCGTTCCATGACTTTTTTTCTTTCTATTTCACTCGCGCGTTAGAATAGAGATAATATACTCAATGGAAATTCCGCAGTTAATGCTAATAATGGTTTCCTCGGTTTTCGTTTGATTGGCGGGGAACGTATTAAAGTGGGTCAAGGAAGAAAACGTTTCGTTTTTATTCACACATCAATTTCACACAACATCGCGACATCCTTTTATAATCTATGAAAAAATTTAAACACTTTAAAAAATATATCGGTGTGGATTTAACACTGCACTGTCTATGCAGTATATAATCTATTAGGTGTTGGAATTAATTCGTAGCGTTTTTAATGAAAGAATGTTATTTATTTCACATGAGCATTAAAAAATACATTAATGAAAGTACTTCCCATCACTTGTAAAACGCTACGAATTAATTCCAACACCTAATATAATATAATATAATATTTTATATAAACTAGTACATAGTTTCTCAACCCTTTTTGACTCATCGCTCCCTTTCTAAGTTTTTTTTTGTTCAACGTCTCCTTTGCGGATAATCTGGTAAATTGGGTAATCGGCAAACTATCTCTAAATAGCAATAAAAAGGAAATTACACAGAAACAACAGACGAACAAATAAAACATATTATTCAGCGGTGTCTCGCACTCTATTAATGAACTTGAGTCCTGATAAAATATGCACAGATGCATTTACTTCGATCATTCCGTACAAGAAAATATTAGCGTAAAATATTAGAAAAAAATTGCGCATAATAAAATAACAAACCTTACATATCATACAACTTAAATCAATACAGAAGATTGACGTATTTGATTCTTATAAAAATGCATAACTGTAATATTTGTATAATCAAGTGAATGTTTAAGTGTAGAAAATATTTAGGGGATTAAATTTCTCTGGTGTGTTTTTTTTCCCACCAAAAATTTTCAATCTCCATGATGATGCAACATTAACATAATGAGAATTACGATGGTGTTCAAAAAGTCCCGGACCCTTTAAATATCTTGAAACATTTCTGAGAAAAATGTTTCGTACAAAAGTTGTACATTTAAAACAGATTTCCGATCAGTGGGCGTTTAAAACAGATTGACATTTTCATCAGTCCTCGCTGAGAAAATGTAAGGGAGACTGTTATTGAGCAGTAGGACTAAGGACAATAGGAAAGGGAAAGGTGGACAAGAATGGGTGGATCCTCACAGGGAGAAAGTGGCAAAACTGTGGTAACATCCTATGAATGGGCATGGACATCTGCTGTAACGGGTTAAAGGTGACAGGTAATTTCGAGGAAGGAGGAATTCCTCAGCACAAGGTAATGATGACACTCGTGCACACAATTCATTCAACGTTCGCACTCACAATCACACGAAACGCTATACACGGATAATCTAGTGTTACAAACACTAGACAATAGCTTTTCGTAACTTTCTTTTGGCAGTCTCGGAGTACCTGTCATTATTGAGGAAACAGAGGCTCATAAAATTGTAACACATACGAAATCGATGCTCTGATTCCTCTGATTAATATTAATTCGTAATAAATTATGAAAAGAAGAGCATAAGGAACCACAGCACAAGTTTTAGTTTGTGATATTTAATTATTCTTGCATCAAAAATTGATTATTACAATAAAAACATTAAACTTTTCGGCCACAATCTGGCCATCTTCAGTAAATTAATAATATTCTTAAGGCGCAGAGTTACATCAAGTTGGAATAAAATTCAACCGTCGTGTGTTATAATTGTAAAAAACGTGTTTACATCTATGCGACGCTGCTTCGTATAATAATGTTAGAACGTCAGAAGTCATATCATGAAAAGTGTAGAACGAGAATTTCCAGATTCTAATTTAAAATAAT